TACTTTTTTCATTGGGCGTTTTTAAGAAGTGCTTAATTTTCCCTTTCTTTACCATATCAATTTTTGCCTCGAATTACGCAAAAAGCGTGTTTTCCACATTGTTCTATTCAACGTTTTCATAATTCATTCCACCACAATCTATTTCGTACCATCGGTCTGTAGCGTATGAAAGCGCCAATCATTTTATGAAATACTTGCGGGTTCGTATACTGAGCTGGATTCGGTGGGAAGGATTCAAGCATTCTCATGAGCAACTCTGCTGCATTTTGCAAGAGAAATAATATTTTTAATTAATTATTAAATTAATTATTTATAATTTTGAATAATTTTTTTTACATAATTGTGTAAACTAATTATAAATTTAAAAAATTGAAAGATTCACTCAGTATTGAATGTATTTAAAATTGTGAAATTGTTTTTATGGTGGCTAATTTAATCACGAAACGAATTCTTTGTCAGAAACTAGTTATTTTATTATGATCATGTAACTTAGAAAACTATTTTGCATTTTGTTAACATATATATTTGAAGAACTTTCAACAATATAAAGGGAAAAAATTATTAGTGCGCATATCCTAATTATAATATTTTTTAAAGTGCTTAAAAATATTTTTTGAGTACTTAAAAGATGCTTATTTTTTGCTGAAAAATTTGACTACGCACCCTGACAGGGTGCGTAGAGTTTTTAAAAAGTGCTTAAAGGTGCTTATTTTCGATTTTCGTTTTATAAAAGCCCTTAAAGGTGCTTTTTTTTATTGGGTGTTTTTAAAAAGTGCTTCATTTTCCCTTTTTAAAAATGAGATTTTTCTTTTACTATGTTGATGTTCGTTTCGAATTCTGCTAAAAGACGCAGTTCACATTGTTCTATTCAACGTTTTCACAATTTATTCACACCCAATCTATTTCAGCGTGTTGTCAGTCCGTAGCGTATAAAAACGCCATTCGTTTTACATTATTCAAAATTTCATGATTTTTGACATTTGTCAAAAACAATGCCAAAAGTTTTTATTTTATACATGACGGTTAAAACAAGATAAATTTTCTAAACTTGCCTAATTATGATATTTTTTTAAAGTGCTCAAAAATATTTTTTGAGTGCTTAAAAGGTGCTTATTTTTTGTTAAATAATCTGACTACGCACCCCGTTTGTGTAAGCCATAAAGTTTCAATTGCTGAAAAAAAATCAAAATATCAATCATAGAAAATTATTGAAAGAAAACTTCCCGATTGCGCGTAATCCTAAGTTATCCTCTCATAGCTTGTTTTCATTTTGATATGTTAAAAATTTTCTTTTCAGTATTTGCAACTTCACGGCTTACTCTAGATTTGTCTAATCCACTTTTTCTATAAATTTTAAATTAGTATTGGGGTAAAAGAGTATTTGCGATGAGAATTTTCTCCCGCGGTATAACGTCCTCTAAACGGATGGACGCGTAACTAATCATGAATAAAATTCTTTTAAATCTCTTTTGTTTACATCAACGGAATTTATTGATCGTTATTTCGAGTCCAATCTGACAAGGTGATTGATTTTTCGTTCTTCCACACTGACCGCGCGAATAAACGTGTCAAGGTTATAATTGACTACAATAACCAGCATCAACGAGCACCCAGCTTTCGAATAAATAATAAATAGATCCTTTAATTTAGTTTTATTTTTTTTTCTCCAACCAAATATGTAAATGTGATTAGATTTTTTGACCAGTAAAATTGCTCAACATAACGATGTCATATAATCGTTATTTAGTCAACTTAGTTTGCGGAAATTTTATACAAAAATAAAATTTATAAACGGAATTGATTTGCTGTAAAATATGAGTATTTTTTAAATGAGAAGGTCTCAAAATAGAGAAGAAAAAAAGCTTTATGCATTTAACACCCTTTGACGCAGATGAACACCGGTACTCCTGTTATATAGCTTTTTTCTGACGCTATAATTATTTGTATTACCAATTAAAAATATATATTTTTTAGATATAAAAACAGCTTAATAGTTACTAAAAAATCTGTTAGATTAGATTTTAGTGCAAATAAAATTCTGATAAAGTTCAAAAAAGTAGTTTAAACAAATTTTTTTTTTCTAGTCCTTATTCAAAAATTTACCAAAGTTTGATTTTGTAAAGTAAAGAAATTTCAACTATGTATAAGTAATAAGTATTTTTCTTAGATCGTAAGTGCAAATTTGAAAAATTATTGATCGGCAGAAAAAGACACCAGTGTTTCCTAACCATAAATTATTAACACGTTGAATGCCATGGGGGTCACCGGTGACCGGCACTGAATTTGTTAGTAGCGCCCGGGGTCACCAGTGACCGGCGAAACCAAGATTATTAGAAACACATAATTCGAGTAAATTTTTTATGCTTTTAATTTTTTTATATTGTTACTGAGCCGCGATTCCTCAGGGGATAGACCGTTCGCCATCCAATTAGGCGAACCGGGTCCGAATCCCAGTCGATACGAATTCCGCATCCGGCTTGCATCGACCACAGTGCTGGCGTGAAATAGCCTCAGTGGTAGACGGATCATGGGTTAGTCTCCTTGCCGTCAGGCTAACCGTGGGAGGTTCTCGTGGTCTTCTCTGTGTAACGCAAATGCGGGTTAGCTCCATCAGAAAGTCCTCCACGAAGGCAAATTTCCTCCCAAAACTCGATCCAGGANTAAAATGCTCACTAGTATATTTTTCACTTATTTTGACCTGAATTAATACTAATGGAAAAAATTATGAAAAATAGGCTTAATAAAAATTTCGCGCCAAAGGGTTAACGCATCAGATGTGTGTGGATGCCCAGGGCTTGTGCCTCTAAAAATGCTCTTAAAATGAGAAGTGTCATGACTGGAATACGACATTTTCTCCAAGGAAAGAAAAAGGAATGATAGAAAAATGTATCAATATTAAAAAATGCCGCCGCTGTTTTGGGCTTTCAACTTTCCGTTACATTTTGTTTTGCTGAGCAGAAACTATATGACTTCGATATTTGAAATTACAATCCTGTATAGAAAAATGTACGGAGAATACTATGGAACTAGTTGATATGTGATTATTAGTTTTGAGAATTGTTAACTGTTGAACTTGTCGTAAAAAATACCGTGCGGGTCGCTCTGCAGAATACAGAAATGCAACTAGAGTTGAAATTTGGTGTGATGAAAGTGAAATTTTTATTTATGAAAAGTTCTTTTTATTTGTGAATTTTACATTTTGTTAAACACTAAGACTTAGTCCGATTCCTCAGGGGATAGAGCGTTCGCCTTCCAATGAGGCGAACCGGGTCCGAATCCCAGTCGATATGAATTCCGCATCCGGCTTGCACCGGCCATAATGCTGAGGTGAAATATCCTCAGTGGTAGACGGATCATGGGTTAGTCCCCTTGCCGTCAGACTGGGTGGTTCTAGTAGTCTTCCTATCCATGTAAGGCAAATTTCTCCCAATACTCGATCCAGGAGTTCCCTTGTCTTCTGGATTGGGTTTAAAATTACAAGACTACGGAATTGAACATTAGTAGTCGTAAACCCATAAAATTGGGTCGGCCGTTCAACGACGGTTATTAAAAAAATAAAATAAAAAAAACACTAAGACTTGAAATTACAAAAGTGGCAAGACGTCTCAAAACTTTTCCCGTTCGACCCCCTCTCTGCATGCCACAATTTTGGTTCTTATAAAGCAATATTAAAATATGCGACAGTATATTTTAAAACTTTGGTTGCGAGAAAATTAAATGTCAAGACAAGTCGTTAATTAAATGTCCTTAAGGCATTATTTCATTTCTATGACAGCCAACCGTCAAATTCGAAATGAATAGTACAATTGCATTTTGCAATGTTACAAAACGTTATTCTGTGGCAATTTTTGATTGGATTAAGCATTTTTGTTCGAAAGCCATTAAAAATTAAGAGTTCTATTCTTAAAGAAATTTAGAACCCATTTAACTATAAGTAAATTTAATGGTTAAGTGCACACTATAGGAAGGTCGTATGCTAATGGTATTATTTGAAAAAAAGCTTCTACGTTTCCTCGTTTATTGAATATTTTTCGTTGTTTTAGATTTTTTTTCCTGCTACGCTTTTATAAAAACAATTTTTAAAATACATGCATGCATGGCTCGAAATTTCTATTTTTTTACATATTAACACATTATTACATCACATCCGTCTTTTAGAACTGTTCTAAAGTCGTTGTAAGCTCACAATAATTAATTTTTTAACGTTAATTTTACGTAAATTAAGTTATTTCTTTTAAAATTTATCAATGAAAGCGCTTATTCTTATTATTAAGAATTTATGAAACCTATCTTTAATTAAATGTTTGTCTCAAGGGTAATTTTTTTTAATAATCTTACATATTAGTTTTTGGTTGTTTTTCAATCATTTTTCAGAACATTTTCTTTTTATCAGCTTTGAACAGTCGATCCATTTTAGATTAGTGCTAATAATTAAATTTAAATATTTAATATTAATTAAATAAATAATTAAATATAAATATTATTAACTCATTTGCTTTGGGATTTTGAACCCACTCATAAACCAAGGAAACTACTGGATCAAACTTTGGAACAATTTCGCCATTTTGGAGGATTTTTTTTGAGTTAAAACTAACCCGCATTTGTTAAGTAGAAGAAAATCCACCAAAATTCTCTCACGGTTAGCCCAAAGGCAAGGCGACTAACCCATGATTCATCTATCGCTGGGGATATTTTTCTTCAGCATTGTGGGGCCCATTTTTTTCAGCAGCGAATGGGAAGCAGTATAGGAATTGATCAGCAATCTCTGTTAATCGAATCTGGGTCGCAATTTCTACGTAATTTAATAATAAGATTCAAAATAATAAATTGGATTTAGAATTTAATGTAATTTTATCATGTGGTCTGTTTATTGTGACGGTATATAATGCTATTTTTTGTGCTTATTATGAAAATAAATTTTAATATTGAGATTAAAAAACTTATTTAATTGTCTTCTCGGTTTAGAAATTTTATAAATATCTTCCATTTTTCTTGTATAGGTCACTCATCGAACAACTGGACAAGTGATGGTGTTGAAGATGAACACCTCCCTGAGTAATCGAGCGAACATGCTGCGCGAAGTACAACTGATGAATCGCCTGTCTCACGAAAACATCCTCAGGTATGCTATCGTTTGCATTCGTGCTATTTCTGTTATAAAATAAAATCGTTCTTATCGTTTTACCTATTTCGTTTCAATCTTTTAAATTTCAATTCTTATCGTTTTCATTTTGATCAATATCATTAATCGAGCGAACATGCTACGCGAAGTACAACTGATGAATCGCCTGTCTCACGAAAACATTCTCAGGTATGCTATCGTCGTTTGCTTTCGTGCTATTTCTGTTATAAAATAAAATCGTTCTTATCGTTTTATCTATTTCGTTTCAATCTTTTAAATTTCAATTCTTATCGTTTTCATGTTGTTCAATATCATTAATCGAGCGAACAAGCTACGCGAAGTACAACGGACGAATCGTCTGTCACGAAAACGTAAAAGTACGTTATCATTTGCTTTCATGCTATTTGTGTTAAAAAATATTCTTTTCCCTTTGCATCGATGACTTGTCTATTTCGTTTCAATCTTTTGAACTTCGAATTCTTTCAGTTTTTAATTTTGTTCGTATATTATCCTTTCTTTTGGCTCAGCCATTGCATCTTCGTCACATTTTCCGTTGTCTGGTTCATGGTGCTCGTGACACGGGTTGTGCACACATCGACCTTGTACACCGAACAAATTTATTAACCCAGTCGGCTTCACCCCCATTAAGCTAACACTGCGTGTCCAAGTTTATTCCCTCCTTTTATTGACGCAATGCCACCCTTTCAAATCACGCAATTTCGCTGCAAACGGTCGAGCTGGCAGCACGTGTCCGTGGAATTCATTAGGCTTTTGTTGGCTGGAAAATTATTTTATGATTAGACGATTTGCTAATTTTCTATCACACAGTTATTAATATTTTTGTCAACAGAAAGTATTTATATATTTTTTGTGAAATTTATTGAAGACTGTTTAGAAAACGTTGCGCATTGAGGTATAACTCATTTTTAATTGACCTGAACGCATTAAAAACGCAAAAGTAGAGAAACCTTTCATGGTGCGAAGGGTTTTTAAAAAGTGCTTAAAGGTGCTTATTTTCCCTTTTCAAAAATGAGTTTTTTTTTTCTTTGCCATGTCGATTTTCGCCACGTATTACGCAAAAGCGTGCTTTTCACATTGTTCCATTCAACGTTTTCACAATTCCTTTCGGCGTACAGTCGGTCCATAGCGTATGAAAGCGCCAATCATTTTAAATGTTTCATGAAAATACTTGGGAGTCCGTATGTGCTTCTACTGAGCGGGGTTCGGTGAGATTATTGCTTTCTCATGTGCAACTCTGCTGCATTTTGCAACACTCTCTATTTCAGACTTCCTTTTCCACCCTCTGATATCAAACTTAAAAATCTCTTCATCATTTTATAACTGCTAATATAATCAAGAAAAGAGTTCTTTGTCAGGAACTAGTTTTTTCTCTCGTGATCATCTAAAGTCTTTGAAAATGATTTTGCATTTTGTTAATGTATATAGTGCTTAAAAATATTTTTTGAGTGCTTAAAAAGTACTTAAAAGGAGCTTATTTTTTGTTGAAAGCTTTTGCTACTCACCCTGCCTTGCCTCTTCAATATTTCGATTTTATTTGAAAATTAAGAAAGTGTTTACTACACAATAAACAGATTATTCTGTCACATGCTCTGCAGAGATGTGTGGCTTATTATGGAAAGTGAATATGGATCTAGATGGGGTAAATTGACTGAGACTGTCTTGGCCGGTAAACCGCTGTAGTGCCTATGAAGAAAAAGAATAATCTGTACTAGTGGGCTGCTCCCCCTGCTCGCTAACCCACAAAAATTGCTACGCAATCTTATATGGTTTGCTTCGCAAACCAAGCTTGCTTCGCTCGCTACTAACTTAGGTACATTGCAAATGCACAAAACTCTAAGAATTCAAAACAACCATTCAAATCCATGTAACAACTTTTTTTTTTAAAAAAAAATTACATCTTTTTAGTAAATACTAAGTCATTAAAATAAATTTGAATTCAAATAAATGACATGTAATACGTTAAGCCTGGTAGAAATGTGCTATTGTATAAAATCTTAAGATAAAATTTCTAAAACTTACATCTCTTTAAAAAGGTTAAAATTTTGGCTATAATTGGGTATAATATAAAAAAAACACAACTGCTTCTACTTAGTAGGAATAACATTTACCATGACGCAATGCTAAATTCTATGCCACTATCCACATAAATGCCACTATCCACATAAATCAATTATTAATCAAAAATCGAATATCAATTACTTTTCTTTATAATGCAATAAAATCTGGCGAGCAGCTATTTAAACGATCAAACACTTCGTTTGTTTATTTGTGGCTTGAAGTTAGGCTCGCAGAAAAT